TTTTATAGGAGACGGTGTAAAGTTGTTACAAGAATAAATATGCAAGGTGAGTTGAGTTACGCCAAGTCAAAAACAATCAAAATCAGAGCATAGTCAAGCTTACAAAATACTAGATGTTCACTCCTACAACCCAACTTATATGGGCCATGTTTTTTAATTAATTTTATAACAAAAACGAAAATGAAAAAGAGCCCACAGATTCTCTCGAAAACTAAAGCTTTAACAATCACTCTTCAGTCTTCTCCAACTACTCAAAATTTATGAAATTATAGTTTCGCTCGGAGAAATCGTCTAAATTGAGAAGGTGGAAGAGAAGCTATTGATGCTTCTAAATTTTGTTGAAACACGTCATCAAGATCAATCAGGATTCTTGTTTTGTTTACCGATGCTTGATAGTGTATTGTGCATATGGGATTGTAAATCAAGGAGACACGTCATACTGCTCGATCGTCTCACATTCAATGACTCAACAATGATGGTGCTATCCAACACCTCTCCACGTCATCACAGGCGCCGCCCAAAGTCTAAAAGTAAACCTAGTTCCCTGAAAATTATTCTTTCCACATACAATTCAAAAACTTGATCCAAAGACATTGCCCAAAATTTCCTCTCCACTGAAAAGTAATCTACACCTTCATTTTTGGCAATAATTGAGTAATGTTAATTATAGTGAAAACTATCGATAGTCGTTCTATGTGGTATATACATGACAATTTTTTATACAATAATTTAATAGTTTTTTATTGTCTTATACATCAAATAACAAATTACTATGCTTAAGTATCTTACACTACTACTTTAAATCACATAATAAACTGCACATACATCAATGAAGCCATTTGTGTAAACCAGCTAGGTTTACCGCCTAAGAACAAAGAGTTATGCAAAAATCAAAAGTGGAAGAGTATATAGTAGCCCCATCCATCCATCATTGCCAAACATGGAAGAACCATCAACATATGATCTGTGTTCAAAGAACAGTATAATGCCTTACAACTGCAAATTGCGGTTGTTACAAAATAACCAAGATACTGGATTGATTCGATATCAATTATTATGAATTCGGATCACAAAGATAATGATAATAATGAAATAAGCACAAAAGTAATAACACAGAGATTTTACATGGAAACCAAAATCGGGAAAAAACCACAGGCGGATGATGAGAAATTCACTATAATCAATAGGAATTATGTTTACAATATCAAAATCCAATTCATTCAATCGAAATCTGAGGCTCTCAAGATGTTGTGTAATACAATACACGATGATTTGTATATATAGAGAAGCCAAAAGACCTAGTTGTAGATGAATAGGTGTCGAAAATACGAAAAGTCGGCAAACACCGTCGCTCAAGTGAAAAGAGGGCAAAAAGCGAGCAACAAATTTCTGCTCCAATTTTGACCATTTGAAATTACAACTCCAATACCCATTAGAATTTGGGTCATACTACCACAAATCTCCACCTTGAACCAAATTTCAACACAAGGAACTCCTCAATAAACACCACTCCACCTCTTCCAAACAAGCCCTAGTAGACTAAATCAATGACAAACACCAACTAAATTCAGGCGATGCTCAAACTTAGTAATGAAAAGTGGTTTCGTCATCATATCAGCAGGATTCTCATTGGTATCATCCTTGCTCACTACAATATCACCATGAGCAATCACATCACACACAAAATGGTACTTCACATCAAAGTGTTTAGTCCTCTAATGTAATATCTGATCCTTAGTCAAAAAATAGCGCTTTGGCTATCACAATATACTATAGAAATCTTCAAGTCTTCACTGATTTCACTAATTACCACATAGCTTCCTCACAAGCCTCTATAATGGCCATGTGTTATGCCTCTATTATAGACAAAGCTACTGTATTTTGCAAAGTAGCTTTTCCAGTTGATAGTATAGCCTCCAAGGGTAGACACATATCCTATTAGTGATCTCCTTTTATCAAGATCCCCTGCATATTCTGAATCCACATATCCAATGACTCCATCTGAATTTCTTCCAAAATGAAAACTAGCATTAGTAGAGCCCTTCAAGTATCTGAGGATCCATTGCACTGCTTTCCAATGTTCCTTCCCAAGATTTGTCATGTATTAGCTAACTGCACTCACTACATACAAATTAGGTCTTGTACAAACCATAGTATACATTAGTGAACCAATTACACTAGAATAAAAAACCCTTGACATGCAATCAATGTCTTCATATGATTGAGGACTCAATTCGGATGATAATCTAAAATGAGAAG